CCCTGGACCGGCAGTACCACCTCCAGACGTCCCAGCAGCGCCTGCGAGAGGTGGGGGGGCAGGGGCAGGCGGGGCCCAGGGAGCTGGGGACAGGGGGCTGGGAAAGGGCCCCCACCCCATCGCTCAGGCAGACAGGGCCCGTGGGCGTGCACGCAGGGGGGGAGAACACAGCTGTCTAGGGCCACAGGCCAACAGTCCGTGCGAGGACTGGATCCTTGAAGGACGTCCTCCCCCCTTCTTGCTCCGTTCGCCTCAGGCTGGATCTGCCGCTGTTGGCAAGGCCTTCCCCAACCCAGACCCCAACCTTTTCCTCCTCCCGCCCTGCTGGCAGGCTTCCCTGAGGCCTCTCCACCTGGGGCGCGGGGGCCAGAGGTGCCCCTGGCCAGCCATCCTCGTCCCCCCCCCCGCCAGCCATCCCTCTTTCCAAGGGCAAGTGTCATGCTGGGCAGGGAAGGTGGAAGGGATGGCCCGAGGAACAAGTGGAGCATGCACATGCGCACGTACACGCACACACACACGCGCGTGCACGCACACACACACACACAGAGGCAGACTTCTAGGTTTCCAGGTCAGTTAGGGGTATTTGGGTACCTGAGAGAGAAAATTTTGCAAAGGTTCCCCCCACCTCCCACCCCCCCAGGAAAACAACAGTCATCATAACTTGGGTTGGTAGCCTTTTGCTGCCTCTTCACAGCCGCACCCAGAATCGTTGCCCAAGGAGGCTGCCTTGCTCTGCCTAATGGCCGGGCCAGCCGTGGGGCAGGGCCCTGGTTTCATTGTCGTTTCCCCACCCAGCTAGAAGAGTTTGCACACTTTGACTTTGCGGTGTGGCGGAAGCGTTACATGCACTGGATCAGCCAGATGAAATCGCGGGTCCTGGACGTGTTTCGGGGCATCGACAGGGACCAGGACGGGCGCATCACCGAGCAGGAGTTCATTGAGAGCGTCCTTGCCTCCAGTGAGTGCAACCGCGACACCCGTTGGGGGGGACTCGGGCGGTTGGACGCTCCCACCTGGCTGTGCTGATCTCCGGTCGCTTTGTGGGCCCTGGGGGGGGCCTCCCCGGGGACACAGAAGACCCCATTTGGCTGCTGGAGTACTCCCCGGGTGGCCCCCTCCCTCCTCCGTCCCACCTCTGCCCTGGCCGGGCCATCGCTTCTCCACTGGCGACATGGGTCAGGCCACGCGGAGCATCCCAGCATAGCCCAGCAATGGCCTTGTGCCTTCCTTCGGCCCCCAGCCCCTGGCCTAGGGGGTGTGGGGAGGTGGGGGGCTGGTCAGTCCCCTCCTCTTCTTCCTCTTTGCAGAATTCCCCACCAACACCCTGGAGATGAACGCTGTGGCCAAGATCTTCGACTTGAACGGAGACGGCTTCATTGACTACTACGAGTTTGTCAGTGCCCTCCACCCCAGCCGGGACGTCCTGCGCCGGGCAGCGGATGCGGACAAGATCCAGGATGAGGTCTGGCAAAGAGGGTCTGACACACACACACACACACCCCAAAATCCTGGGCAGGAGGGGCTCTGCATGCATTTACAGCTGAGCTGGAGGCCTTCAATGGGGCGCTGCACAAGGGGTGCATGTGTGGATCCCAGTTTGGTAGCGGGTTAGGGTGTTAAGTCCTGTCAAGCCACATCCAGCTTTTAGCCACTCCATCTGGGATATATAAGGGATGGTTTTACCAGGGGCATCCCTCCCCCCACCCCACCCCACCCCCGTCGCCCCCTGGTAAGTTTCCACGGTTGAGCTGGAATGCAAACTCAGGTCTCCAAGCCCTCGTCGGATCCTCTTATTCGTGGCACAACCTCAACTCTGCAGTTTGGTGTGCTCGTAGATAACCAGAGAACAGAGTTGCCACACGTGTGTGTGTGTGTTCTGTGCCATCCAGTCGGAACCGACTTGCAGCGACCCTCGGAGGCCTTTCCGGGCAAGGGGGTGCTTTGGAGGCGTGGTTCTACCCACTCCGCTCCTCCCCGAGTTGGTTTCCATTTGCTGAGCCAGGGCTGGAACCCTGTTCTCCAGGCTCCTCGGCCGCCACTTTACCCGCTACGCCCCACGGGGCGCTTGGAAGGCCGGTCTTCTGACCACTCCCCAGGAGTTAGTTGGAGTGGACCTGCCTGTGTGAGTGTGAGTGTGTGTGTCTGTGTGTGTGTGTGTGTACAAAAGGACTAGCATTAAGCGCGGAAATGGATGGGGGTCTCCAGGGTGTGTGCGTGACCCTGTGCCAGCCTGAGACCCCCCCTCATGCCCCTGTCCCTTCCCCTCTGACCCTCACCCCCTCCTCCTCGGGTGGCTCAGGTGAACCGGCAGGTGGCCCAGTGCAGCTGCGCGAAGCGTTTTCAGGTGGAGCAGATCAGCGCTAACCGTTACCGGGTGAGTTCCTGGGTGGGCCTAGGGACCCCCCACCCCTTCCCTCGCTTTCCAGGCAGGACGGGGGGCCTGTGGCAGCCCCATTGGAAGGCCAGGTCTCCGGGTGGGGAGCCTGGGCTTCCCGTCAGCTGGCCCCGGGGGGGGGAAGGGGGAAAGAGGCTGGGTGAGGCCCCTCGGGGGGGGGCTCCCACTTTGAGGCCAGGCACCCACAGCTGCAAGGGGGCAGGGGGCCCTCCTTCCCCACCCCACCCCAAACCTGAGAGGCAGCTGCGAGACCCTTGTGCCCCGAGGAGCCCTTCAGGCGTCTCTCGGAAACGTCGCCCTCCTTCTCCCCACGGCTAACCGCCTCTTTCCTGCCTTGCTTGCAGTTTGGGGAATCTCAGCAGCTGCGCATGGTCCGCATCCTGCGCAGCACATTAATGGTGCGGGTTGGTGGAGGATGGATTGCCCTGGATGAGTTCCTGGTGAAGAATGACCCCTGCCGAGGTGCGTGCCCACCGGACCTCTGCCTGCGCAAGGCTGCCGCCTCCCCGCCTCCGCCCAGATCCTCCCTCACAGGGCCTGGCACAGGGGCCAAGACTTGGGGGCGCACTTCCTCTCCTCCTCCCCTTCCTCCCGGCACCCCCATCTCTTTGGGGGCAGAGCCTCTTCCCAAGTGGGGAGGGTCTCCCTCCTGTGGGTCCATCTGAGTTTCAGGCTTTCTTTGGGGGGAGGGAGGGGCGCACCCGGCAGCTTTGCCTGTGCTGCCATCAGCGGCCCCCAGACCCACCGTTCAAGGCCTGTCGCCTCCCCCCCCAGACTGGCCCTCCCAACCTCAGGCCCCAGCCGGCACGGCCCCACCTCGGTTCCCTCCTGGCCCTGCTTCCCCTCCCGCTATCCTCCCAAAAACCCCAAGGGGGTCTTGGGCACCGCAGCCCCCATCGGCCCAGAGGTGGGGGCGTCGCTTTCTGGGGGCAGGCCTTGTGGCGGCCACGGCCACGGCTCACCACCACCCCCGAGGGACCAGACCTTTTTCTCTCCCCTCCCCCCCCAGTGAAGGGAAGGACTAACGTGAAGATCAATGAGAAATACCTCTCCCCGGACCCCCAGGCGGGGGGCAGGGGGCCCACCGGCCAGTCCACTCCCGCCTCCAAGGTGCTCTCGCCCAGCGGCTCCAGCCTCAGCCTCTACAGCAGTGCCTCTGCCCCCAGCAGCCCCCTCCCCAGGAAGGTAAGCTGGCCAGCGCCCGCCGGATGGGCAGCGGTTCCCCTCCTCCATGGGCACGTGGCTCCAGGGGTGGGGGTGGGATGATAGCTGGGGGGGAGAATGAGCAACGGAGGCGGGGGGGGCTTGCACATGCAGGCGTGGAGGTGCGTGGTGCGCCCTGGGAAGAGAGAGGCTTTGGGTGGGCTGTGCCGAGGTGGGGGTCAGAAGGCAGCCCCTGCCTGGCAACCCCTGGAGGGGGGGCTTCTCCTCCCTGTGCTGCCGCCCCCCCTCCCTCCAGCCAGGCTGAGGAGTGGGTTTCACTTGGTCGTGGAGCCCGGTGGTCTGCCTGGGTCTGCTTCTCCCCTCCTCTCTTCCAGTCCGTCCTGCGGAGGACACGCTCCGGGGACCGTTCTCTCCACTCGTGCAGCTCTCTCCTCCCTGATGGGGCTGAACTGACCTTCGTGGGAACTGCCCAGGAGGGAAGCGACCCCGACGGGGCTCCCACGGAGGCTGAGCCGCCACCAGGTGAGGGCCCTGGACTGGGCGTCTGCCTCCCGAGAGGGTGGAGGGGGAAGCCCCCCCAACCCCTTGCAGGCTTCCTGAACTAGAGTCGGGGGGGGCTGTAGCGGGGGGCAGGCTCACCAATATTAAAACTGTGCAGTAACAACAGGTTGAAAAACTATTTAAAAAAAAACTTTTATGCAAATGCAATTAAGCAACAGTCAAGGTTAAAAGCAAGATCAGGTTCAGCCCATGGTAGCCCAGAGAGCTGGTAGGGGAGCCTAGCCTGACCCCCGGCCTTGCCCCCCCCTCCAGTTTCTTGGTGAGCCTCCTTGCTACACCCCCCCACGCACACACATCTGAGAACGCAACTCCTTCCGGTCTGCCTCCTCCGTTCCCTGCTTTGGAAGCTGGGGCAGCCAGAGAGCAGGGACGAGGTGAGATTGTTCCTCATGGTGGCTTCTTCTTCTCTGCTTCTTCCTAGACCCCCCCGGAGGACCCCCACCCTGAGCGGCCCTGCAGCCCTGGTCTCAGAATGAGGGACAGGCCGCCTGCCCATCCGTCTGTCCTGGCAGCTGGACCCCCAACCGCCTGGAGCCCTAGGCAGAGGCCCCTTCCTCCCACTGGGCCCAAAGAGGGGGTGGGGGCCCCTAAGGGACCGGGCTGAGACACTCTGCCCCCCAACCCTCTGACAGCCTAGAAAGGGGGCCCAGTGCCAACCCCGGGGACCCCTTAGAGGCGGCTACGCAGGTGCCCCCCCCAGTGCCTGCTCTCCAGGCCTCCCACCCGGCCACCCTCAATGGTGCCCCTCCCGTCCATAGAACCTGGGTTACAAGAACACGCCCCCCCTCTTCCCTCATCAGGGACTTTTTAGAACTAGATGTTCCCCCTTCCAGGCCCCACCCTTGCCACCGCCGGCCCGGAGCCTCTTGTCCT